CCATGGGGTTTGGATGGTTGGTTGGGGGCGTGTTTCGCTTCTCCCGTAGCGGTCGAGGACAAGCCTCAGGACTGCATTTTTTACAGCTGGGGCGCTGTGGGCCATCCCGAGCAAGCGGTTCCTGGGGAGGAAGCTGTCCGGAGCAATTTCCCATTTCCCATATCGCACAATGATTCTTTTTTTTATTTTTACCTTTTATACAACAAATGACAAACGGATCAATTAGGATGCCCGTGCTTTACAGTTATTGCGTAATTCAGTGTGTTGCTAACCACTTTTTAATTCAAACACAAAACAACTGTTTTTCCTAGAGTTCATTGATTTCTTTCCCAAAACACGTTCTTACCTATAATTTCCTAGGGGAGCCTGACTCCGTAGTTCCGAGGCGTACTCCACGCAATTCACATGCATTCTTACCCTACACAAATGGGCTGTGTGAGTTCAAATCCAGACCAATCAGCTATTAGGAAAAACCAAAGAAATCCATGTTTTTTAAATTTCAAGCCAATTGGCTCAGCAATGCACCAAAAAATTTCATGTTACTCTGACTAAACGGCGGGGGGCTTCCGATTGCATTTCACATGTTTGGAGTGTTTTTAATTAAACCTTATTGGGGTTTCCGATCCCCGAATGCCATGGATTTCACCTTGTGACATATATATTTCGCACCGGTTCATATTTCCATTTACTATTCGGCATGGACGATGTCCATTTTTTACAAGGTTCTCCATTTATTTTATATAAAAACACATTTATGATGACACATTTTAAATGGTAATTATTTTTCTATTTCTTTGTTTTTTTTTGAAACGTATGGGCAATTTTCCTTTTTGTATATTTCGTATACTTGTCCAATAGGGGGTGCGATATGTTGCTAATATTTCCAAAGGCAAATTACCAGGCAAATTAAAATTGCAATATAAAATTTAGAGGGTTGTCTGGAGGCCTTCTTTTTGACACGAATGGGTGTGCAAGCGCCGCGGGCTATCTATAAAATCCCGTCTGTTTCCCGATGATAATGTAGACATGGGAAGGTTTGGTGGGAATTCTAATTTTTAATAATATGTATAATTGCATGGAAACCTTCGTTTTGTAGAATAACGGAAACCTCTTGGTAGCCAAACCAACCTTTTAACTCCCCTCTTCCCCCCCTTGCCAAGGTTGAATGGGGGACCCGTGCCCGAATTCTAAAGGCAATAAAAGATATACACCCCATAAATAAATAAATAAAACGGTATTGTTGATACTGGGCAGTTTCCATTATACAATACGGTGGATATTTTTACGTTTGCACCCCCGTCAAAAACGACACTGCCACCGCCACCCGTTTCCTACACCATTAAGAATGGTGAAATGAAACAAAACCAGTTTACTGACAACGTCGCTTTGCACTGACTAATTTAGTTAAATGGGAAAGATCGCATCCTTCACATTATCCCACCCTTCTCGTGTGTTCACGGGTGGTCTGATGTTTTATTTCGGGGCGAGGTAGGGTTCGATTAGGGAAGGCCATCTCTTGAATAATCTCCGGTTCAAAGGGGTCATGGGTTTTCTTTCGCCAGGTGGTCGAATTATGGCATAGGAATTGTGGTTATATGGAATTACTTGCCACGCAACGTGACCCCGCCATGGGGTTTGGATGGTTGGTTGGGGGCGTGTTTCGCTTCTCTCGTAGCGCTGTGGGCCATCCCGAGCAAGCGGTTCCTGGAGAAGAAGCTGTCCGGGGCAATTTCCCATATCGCACAATGATTCTCTTTCTTTTATTTTTATTACCTTTTACACAACATAAAATGAGAAACGGATCAATTCGAATGCCAGGAATTTATAGCCATTACATAATTCGATGTGTTGCTGACTACTTTTTAATTCAAACACAAAACTGTTTTTCCTAGAGTTCATTGATTTCTTTCCAGAAACACGTTCTTACCCGTTATTCGATAAAGGAGTCTGACTCCGTAGTTCCGAGGCGTGCTCCACGCATTCCACACACATCTTTACCCCACACAAATGGACCGTGTGAGTTCAAATCCAACCCAATCAGCTATTAGGATACCCCGCAGGGCTCCCTAGTTGTGTACTCTCACTCAAGCGGCTCAGTCGCGCACTACAACTTTTTGGCATCACTTTGGTTGAGCAACAGGAGGCTGCTAAGTGGATTCCCCCTGTTTGAGGTGTTTTTCAGATTTGTTTGTACGGATTATCATCACAAGAATTGTATCAGTGCACAGTGCTCTGATTGGATCCGTTTTAAACGTTTCATCATTATACACACCATGCTCACATTACTAATCATGTAAGCTGCGTAAAAAAACTCCCTGGGGGATGGGGGAGCGTTTAAACACACTTATTAGTGTGGAAGCATATTTTGTGAGGGTTATTCCATCCGAAGGGGGGCATACCCAAGGAGAATCATAATGTTGCACGCGTTACTCCGCCCACCACTTCAGTAAATCCTTTGTTTACTAAGGGAAATGAGTGGTGTATTAGTGTTCATACAAATCTGTTATTGTAGTTGAAAGCATTGGAGGAAGGTGTGGCTCGCGCTGCATCTATATGAGACTGCAAAACATGAATATCACTTATCAGGTGCAACTGGGTTTGGTTTCAGGAACTTTATCGGTAGAGACGCTTTGGCCGAGCACAAGAAGGTCTTCGGCTATGGCAGGATCAAACGCTACTGGGAAAAATGGTCCTTGGATTTTACCACCGGCCTGAAAACGTGTAGTATGGGGAAGAAGAGGGCCATCGTGCACTGCAAATGTTTTGTCGCCCATATAATGCACAAGGCAGGATCGCGCTGCGTTTAGAGTGCGGTTTCCATGCGTGGCAAACAGAGTAAGGGGGTGAACAAGAAGTGCCTCACCGCGTTTGAGATCAATGGTTACAGGTGGAGTATCCATTAGCATCTCCCGCTCCTCCGCGTTTGTGATGGTCCAGATGGTATTGAGTTGCTGTGTTTCGTCCAAGCTCGGGTCGTAAACCACCGGTGGAAGAAGTTCGCTGCCATTCCGCCAACGGTGACTGCCAGGCACAACACACGGCGCACCGCGGTCTTTGCTGAGGTTGTCCAGTGCGATCATGACCGTGGCGTGATTAACCGGCGTTGTGTGGCGCCAGCGGGCGTAGTGTTGTTGCCACGGCACGCACGGCCCTGTTCTCGCCTCCTTCATGTACACTTCGTCGTACCATAGCCGAATAAGTGCGTTACCAAGCACTTGGCACACAGCAACAGTTATAGTAGGCAGATATACTAGATCATGCAACCCCCAGGATGCTCGCCACTGACCTTGGCAGTAAAACAGCGGTCCACTAGTTAAGTTGGCCAGCGAGGTCGCGTAAAGATTTTCCAACTTCGGATGGTGCTCCACATTGTTCGCCAGCTCGTTCACTTCATCCACAAGTATGTCGATCTGATGCGGGTCTAATACAAGGCGCGGCAGCTTCACATAGCCTAGTTGGTGATACTGTTGAATTGTTTGTGGCATGATAATAAACTGGTCGTATTCATCCACATCTGGGAGCGTTCCGTAGAGACAACCAAGTGCCCCGGAGACGTCCTTGAGATCACGTGGGAGTTGCCCTCTTAAAAACTTAAGCACATAGGACTTGTAGCGGCGCTGAAAGTTCAGTATAGTGTCTTTGCTACTCTCCATTCTGCTTCTATGGCAGAAAGAAGAAAACACAGACGAAGATGACGACGATACATGGCAATGGGCACGTGCTGCAGATGTGGTTCGACCTATGTAGCCTACCAAGTGGGATGGAACCTGCATCAACAACGAAAATGAGACTCACTAACGAAGAGAATATTTATTAGTATTCGTCACTTGAAACCAAACTAAATACTCAAAGGGTTGTAGAAATATCAAAAAGCGAACAAAGTGAAGTAAGTGATAGAAACCTGATAAACATTCATATTTACACTTTTTTTTAGATTTGAGTTGTTCCGCTACTTGCCCTACACCTCTCGTGTTTTTAATCGTAAATCCATGCACTAAGGCAAGTCTTAACACCAGCACTTATCATTTCTTGTTTACAGACAACCCGGGTTCACTTTTCCCTCATCAATCTTATAAGCCTTTTCCTATTTTATGGATTTTTCTTTTTCGCCACTTAGTGAAGTATTGAGGCGAGTCTTTATCACCGCCTTCGGCTGCCTTTGACTTCCCTTGTTTCGCACCACGTGACAGAAAGCGCACTTCATCTTCCGGCATATGTCCACCGATGCGGGGCACTTTGTGTGGATTCACGGCAGTGCGATACGCAGCAGTCGGTGTTATCTGCTTGCGCTTCTCCATGGCCTTTAGTATGTCCTTGCGCTGCTTCGTCAAACGGCGAAGCTTTGACTTTTTCATGTCGAATGTGTTGAATTGCGCCGCCGGTTGAAGTGCCTTGATACCTTGTAGAAATAGCTTGGATGGTGCGATGAGATTTTTGCTTGGACGTAAAGTGTTATGAAACCACATCAATTCCGTTGCCTCATCTGCATCAATGCTGTAGAGCATGGCAAGATTTTCATTTTTGATCCCATCTAGGCGATCTTTCTGAACAATGATGTTCGTCCCTTTGATGTTTTTTTTTAGTTCTCTGGGGGTCTGAATAGACATATCGCCTACACTGCGTTGCAATTAAAAGGGAAAGTATGAAAAGAAGATCAGAATGGAGAGGGAGATCCAATTATAAAATTGAGCTACCACGATTATTGTTTGTAAGTTTATGTATAACTTCCTCTTTACTGGCGCTTCTAAAATCGAAAAAAAAATGTAAGTGGAAGAAGAAAAAAATCACAACATATATTCATCGTGCTTCATTCGCTAATACCACATCGACGTGTTATAATTTTCCTTATCAGAATTCACTCGGAGTCGTTTCATCATTCTCTGATCATCTTTCTTCCTTATTTGCTACTTAAGTTGGAGGTGCCATCAGATGGCATGATGGCGGCAGCTTTACTCAACAAATCAAAGATCAGGATGTGGCTACTAATGGGGTGCTGCACAACGACACGGATGCCATTGTATAAAGGTTTAATTTGTTTTAGCAGACACCTCCAAATCTGTTTCGTTAACGATTACCAGCAATATGATGTGATTTAGAGCCACTTTATCATTGGGTAGGCACTGCAAGGCCTGCTTCACGGACTCGAAACATGCAAGGGCCTCTGGGTTCTCAACATACATGGCGGTGTCGTGTGCTCGTCGTATGTATACCATGTTTCGCGCAATTGTGACGGCCTTCTAGATTCTAGCAGGTGAAGTTAACAGGGTTGCCATTACGTGGTGATATTCTGGACCAACTGAATATAGTATAAGATGACTTGCTGGCGTTGTCAAGACAGAGAATTAACAGTTCGTAAGCTCGATTGAGGTTAAACAGGATCCATAACCGAGACAACAATTGACTTATTGTTTTTTGTTTCTTTAAAATTTACCAGCTATCATTTTGAACAAAGGGATTGGTGTGCGTTCGATAATACCATTCCAAACACTGTTGAATTCCCTTCAATTCATCCCTTTTGTTCTTATGCCCTCTACCTAAAAGCTGAAAAAGCTTAGGAGTAGTGCATACAAATGTTGAGAAAGATATCCCTTGCGTTCTGGTCTTTTTTACTGTATGTAAATATAATAAAGCACGGCAACACAAAACCACGACTGAAAACGGAAGCCATAGAATCAGTCTTTTATGGGAATAAATGTGTTTGTCGGTGTTTCCCTACTAAAAGAGACTGACAATACTCATTCGATAATTTATTTCCACATTTTCCAATCCGCTTCCTTATTTTGTGAAGTTTTGATTCAGTAAATCACTATTCTTTGGGTTTCAAATTTCTTCATTTTTGTTTTCTCTTTCTCTTACCCGCTTCTCCCCTACGAGTCTAGATGTGACACCAGCCCACTCATCCATAGGGTTTCAAGCATTCGTTCATCCTTCCCTTCTCGCACTGTGACCACTTCAAGCTCCATAACCCCCTGCATTGGTTGCACGTGTGTGACACGACACTCCACAACAGCGCCCACCAAAACGGAAGGGCTGTTGTGGTAAAGTGTGTGCACTAGCTGAAGCTCAGGCAGATACAACTCTGATATATAGCGATACTCCGGCGTCGACTGCCGAAGGAGACTACTTGTCGATTCCCGAAGATCACGTTCAGTGTCGTAGATCACTTCGATCCCGGGTTCTAAATGATCCTCACGGGAGCGCAGCGCGGCGAAGTTACGAGAGGCATTTGGGACGAAACGGCTGTACTCTGGCGACGCCATCACGTCTTTGGTCTCACCCACGAGACACACGAAGTGCCGCTCTCCAGCGTTGCCGCGGTGGTCGTGGAGGAGCTGTTGGACGTAGCACAGAGTCCAGAACCTCGCTGTTCTATCCTGCAGGAGACTAGCCTGCTCTTGATTGGTGCTAATATTTGTGCAGAGGGTTGCCATAGCGTATTCAGGAATGAATTGGTGGGGGTGAAAGTGACTCGAATGATTGTGCGAGGTTAAGGGGGAGCTGTGAAACTTTTGTTTTTTTGACTCTAACCAGAGCCATACTTTAAGTTGGTGATGCACAAGCATGTCGGCGTGCCGGCGCAGTGGGCTCGTACTGTGGGTGTAATATGTTGTATCGAGCCCAGCGTGATAAATCGGGACATAGTGGTAAATAGCCCGTGTGACGGCGCCAAGCTGTCTGATGGTGAGCTGCATGAGCTGCGCCGTGTACATATAGGCAGGGTCCAACGACGGCATCAACGAAACCCCATCAGGTTCGGTGTAGCCGAGAGCAAGCTTATGTTCACTAGATTGTAGCCTTGTGCCGCGGTACGGGATCGGAATCTTGTTCGCCTGGGCGATGCGGGAGCAGACTTCATTCGCCGCGATCATCATCTCGGCCACCGCAAGGCGGGAGTCCTGCGTGCAGACAACCTGGTCTGTGAGCGACACAACCCGCAGTCCATCAACCTTGATCAGTGGGTCTGGCAAACAGTTGGTGATGCTTGCCGTGTGGTTAGCCGCTGTTCGCGCCATGCGGGCCCGAAATCGAACCAGGGCGGTATTATAAATGCGACGTAGTGCATGTGTGTCACTTGACGTCAACCACGGAGGAGGCGCACGCGGCCCCAGACTGGCCGAAGTCTCAAGGTTTTGGTCGCCTTGATCCACGTCAGGGGTGAGAAGCGGCTGAACCTGGTCGTACGTGATTCGCCGCAACTGCTGCAACCAACCCAGAGAGATGGAGAATTTCGTTAGCTCGCCAGTTCGTTCGTCAACTTGAAATTTCACATTGAAGGTGCGACATGGCTTGTCCTTACGCAACGTTGCCGCCTCCACAATGGGCTTAGGCAACATAAAATACACATTCTCAGGGAGATATGTTGTTGTTGAAAGAAGCCGCGCGGTTAGGTGCTCTATCTGGCTATCAATAGGGCAATACACCGTCGCGTCTGATATGTACACAGTGAAGATTTCTTGACCAGTATCCGGGTCAAGTTCGATCCCTATGGCGTCATCTACTTCGCTAGTGGTAGCACTGTCAATGGCGTAGGCAGGGCCAGGACTTAGACCACGAATTTGATCGTATGGGTCGCCACCGTCACGCTGCAAGGAATCTTTCAGATATGGCTTTATCATTGCATGAGCCTGCGGTGCATAATGTAGCTCCCCAGGGTAGGCAATCCGCCGAAGGTTATCACCACGTTTTACATAGCCAACACATTCAAGAAATCTTTCCATGTTTGATGGGTCGTCAAGCTGCCACAACACGCCGGGTATACGGTTGAGCGCCGCGTTAAGTTCGTTGAGGGCCTCATCAGAAAGAAGACCCTCACCACAGGCGTACCGAGCTAAGAGCCTAAAAATACGTTTCTCACTAATACTATCTAAGGGCCTGACAGGGATTCCCCATGCATTGCTCAGCACCTTCTGGGCTTTCAGCAGCGCTGCTTCCACCGCAGCTGCGGACATCGGTTTATTCGGATTGCTAGCCACGCCCTTTAAAGCTTCAGAGTCGCGCTTGACACCTTGGTCGGAAAGGGGTGGTTCGTAAGACTGAAGCAGAGTGCCAAGGATAAACCGTCGGGTCCATTCTCGATTTAAATAATTACCAGCAAAAATTATTCCCTTGTGTACAGCTTTAGCAGAGGGTAATGCCGATGTTCCGGTGTGAATTTTAGTTATCATTTCTTTCCGGAAAACGTGCGTTTAAAGCGTTTGTGGATGAATGGAAAGCCTTCCTTATCGCTTTATTTTACCCTTCTGCGTGTTGAGCATTCTAAAAGACAATGTACCCCCGACACGCGTTAGAAAGAAGCATCGAAAGGAGAAAAGCACGAGTTATATGAATATATCTCATACACGAGGTCTGCATCCTATTCATTACATTATGGACGATGGAGCGCTGTTTCAAAACTCAACAAAAGTTTTCACACTAGGTAAAGCAAAAAAGTAAGAAACCACGACGTGATGTTTTTTAGCATTCTCTTTGGCTCAGTGTGTATGGATATCAGAGTCAAGCTGGTTAGCACCAAATCTACGCATTTTTCGAAAGTATGATGCCTTTTGCTGAAGGACAGCTAACTCGTCCGCACTATACTCGTCTAATTCATTACTTGATAGGAGGCCAAGGGTTGGATTAGCATTAAAGCTGGATTCCATTAATTTAAGACGCTTGATGAGCTGCTGGGAAAGACTACGCATTTTAGCAGTTTGTTGAATGAATTCGGGACTCAATCGCTCCAGAATATGTGCGCGTTTTCTCTCGACGTGCGTGATCCAATCTGCCAGGTGGTAGTAGCGGCGCACGAGGTAGGCATCGTAGACAGTTTTGAGCGTAGGATGCAGGCTCGTATAGCAGTGGTCTAGCGCCTTGGCGATTTTTTCACGCTCAGATTTGATACGGGCGATGCGGGGATGGAACTGGGGATGAAGTGGGTCATCATGAAGTTGCTGGAGGTCCTCGGCCAGCGTCCCATACAACTCATACACCAGTTTAAGACATCGATAGAGCAAATCATGTCGGTGGCTAATCTGCGGGTTTGGGTGCTCCGGCGTCCCGGCATACTGCATATGCCTCTCAAGATAGCTCTGGCTATAGCCATCCCACTGCTCGGTATTCAACCATGCCTGTTGTTCACCTTTAGTGCGCGGTAGACCGTCAACCCCGTCGGGCTGAACGATATGAGGGTTGTGTAGATATCGATGGAACTGATCTGAGGACTGGAAGCGAACGGCGAGTGTTAGTAAGGTGGTGTGGCTTCCTTTAGGACACTCGTCCTTGGTCCATGCAAATGAAGAAGGGAGGGGCGGCCTGGAGCGAACTCGACGGATGCAAAGTTGCGTGCGGGAGGGGAACTTTCCTATACGAAGCAAGGACTTCATCTTTTTTTTAAGCAAATAATGACTTATTGTCTCCCTACCACCACTATTGCTTGTTAACTTAAGTTGTCGTCTGCTTGCCCTCTATCTTTCAGGAACAATTGTAAAACGGGTTTGAAGGAGGAAAATCTGTCAAATGGAGATATCCTATTATTATTGTCGTATGTCAAATGGCATTAACCCATAAGACAATTCATCATCTGGCAAACCGATACGTATTGCGCATCTTTTGATTCAGAAAATAGCATGCACAGTTTTATAAAGATACGAATTAAAAAATAACTTCACGTTTCCTTTCCTTCACTAAGGTGAATTTGTGTAAAAAAAAAGCGCGTCATTACTGCCGTAGTACACCTAAAATTGGGGAAAAATCTATGCTACTATATTATTTCACCCAAAAATAAAGGTTCGATAAAGCACGCCCACCACACAACGCATCGTCCTCTTTTTCTATCATTGTTTTCTGCTATAATGTACACTAAGTATATTTCTTCAGTCATACACTTTCTACACTAAGACGAATATGTAAAGCACATAGATCAGTCAGTTTGATTTTTCAGCAGCATTGTGTCGTGGTGCGACCGGGCGTCGGAAAAACACGTCACGATGCCCCATTTGTTTGGACTGCTTTTTGTCGTGGAACTCCGAGTGGATATCGGCAAAAGGGGTATAGTACTTCATCGACTGTGGGTTCTCCGTCGTCCCGGTGGATTCCCAAAGCTGCTGTAAAAGGTCCTCCCAAACCACACGTCCGAGATTCCATCCCGCTTGGTCCGCACGCGGGCGTCGCCACTCGCCGTATTCACCAACCATCCGGAGCACCGCCTTACGCGATGCCAGTGGGGCATCCCACGCATTGCTGAAGGCGAAGATCGAATCCCCATCCATCTTAAAGCGCTGGGCGCGGAAAATACTATGCCCTTGTGAGATCGTCATGCTCTCCACAACGTTCTGATGTACCCGCATCCGGGCCTCACGTGTATGCCGCGCATTCCACCGTGCGAGGGAGAATCCCATGAATTTAATCCCCCGGGCGATTGCATCCATATTCGAAATCTGCATGGGGTGGTGGCTTGTGTTGCCATAGGTCACACAAATGCCGTTATCACCTAAGAGATTGACCAGATTTGAGGCATAACCACCACAAGTATGGTTTAGAAGCAGCCTTGGTGGCGGGATGTCCGACAACAAACGGCGCATATAATTCGTCCGCGCATAATTGTAGGGAACAACCGCGAAAGCGCCACGTAATTTGAAGAAAGCCACCAAATGCCCATGCTCGGTTCGACCGAGCTGCATGGTTTGGAAGAGTTTGGCACCTTTAGCGCGTAAGTGGCCCTGACAAATCTGAGCCACGGAGGAGGACGCGCCGGTTTGTAGAACCACATCGTTCGGCTGTAAGCTGACGAAGTCATGGGTTAGATGGTACGCGGTGTGGAATAAGGAAAGCGAAGCCAAATACTCAATTTCGACATCTGCACGATTCGGTACCACGTCGAGATTGTCCGCATCCGTCACCAGGTGCGTCGTCCAGGTCCCGACGAAAGGATTGTTAACCCAGACTAAATCCCCCTCCTTCAGCGCGAGACTTGCGCTACGACCGACTTCCTCGACCACGCCAACTCCTTCGACGCCTGCGATACGTGGAAAAGAAAACGCGACGTTGTCAGATTTTCCCGATGGAGTTAATTCGTGCAATTCCTTAGCAAGCTGCATGACCTCAGGGTGTCCTTCAATAATGTTCTTATCTTGCCGATGCACAGGCGCCGCGAGCATTTTTACGACCACCCGCGAGCCCGAACGATCAAAAGGTAAACGATAACGTTCGTATTGCAAAACTTTAGAAGGGTTGCCGTGTCGATGGTAACGCCAGCCTGTCGCAGCCACGGCCCGGATCGTTGGCAGGCTTTCCAACAGACGGATAGACGAGTAAAACATGTGTATATCTGATTATTTATCAGTGTAAAACAAATTACTAGTTATCTATTTGAATATTCGATATGACTAAAAACTATGTTTTTGCTTGAAGAGAATATCTTTTTATAATAATTTTGTCTACTACTCTCCCTATTGATTAACTTTGTTTTCTAGGTTTGAATACAGCTATTACTATTAAATCTAGGAATTTATGTGTTTTTGTATGAAAATCGTTTGCCTTTCCTTGACTTGCCCTTTTATGGTTCAGCCAGAAGTATTATCTTTAATGTTACCACTCGGAGGCAGCTGATTAAACAAAAGTTAATAGTACTTTTGGTAATGAAAGAACTTTATGCAAACTAACTTATCCGCATGAAAAGTTGTGGAAATAAATATACAATCAGATTAGCATATAATTGCGGTTTGCATTTGTTTTGATATTCCTTTGATTTGATGTTTCTTTTTTTAATTACTGATAACTCTCACAAACTTTTTCCCTTGGGGTTCTTATCGCGATCGTAGTTCAGTAAAGCCGAGGTAACTTTTGCTATTTGTTATGAAGACTAAAGTATTCCTGTACATAGTATGTGCGTGTGTATCTTTATCTACACGCCTAAATTTTTAATTTCCGATAATGAAGAGGAAATGAGATCACAATAATAGATCAGAGTGGCAATGGCGGACATAACCTACTCACGTCCTCTGTATATTAAAGTGAAAAGAATGCCTTTTTATTATTTAAATCTATAGAAAAGAGGAGGTGCGCATCCCACACATCCATCTTTCGGGTTGTCATTTTTATGGCTTGGCCCCATTGGCACTTTCCAAGGGCACGGCTGGGTTGAATATATGAGGCAGCACTGCATCTGTATTTACTGCAATTCTTATTTCTTTGTCAGACATTTTCAAATTTTCAGGATTACCCAGTTCAGTGTTCACAAACAATTGCGTTGATGGGCTATTATTTAGGGGATTTGAACTATTCAGGACATTATCGATGCCAGACGAGTTGGAATAAGGAGATTCGTTGGAATAGGGTACCTCTGAAACAGAATTTCTTTGTGGAAGAGGGTCATCCATGTCGGTGGTTGAGGACTTCAGCAACTCTTCTAAACAGTCCAGAGATATATCCATGAACTGATCTTGATGCTTCTGTCGCTTCAGACGCTCCGCCTGCAAGGTGCGTCGCCGTTCCTCCTGAAGTTTTTCGGTAAGTTGGTGATTGCGGTGTTGTAGGGCGTGAACATTCTGCGTTAATTCGTCAAGTTGCGTTCGTAGAAGTTTACGTTGTGCTTGAAGCTGTGAGATATCGGCAGCGTCCGATTCCGCATCGATAATACCACCACCGACGCCGAGTAGAACGTTGGGCTGCTTTTCTTCTTTCTGCCGAAGCTCCTCGGCGGCGTTTAGCTGCTCAATCTCGCAGTCCTCTTCTTTCTGCGTGAGCATAGCTTTGTTTGGTAGGACTTGCCCCGAGACATACTCCAAGTACCCAACCTCCGTGTGGTAGGTCTCAAAGCGATACGCCACTCGGATGTCCGACAGATGCGTCCGAGACTGTTCGTTGCTTAGACTACTGGAAAGAAAATAGAGCCGTCCGAGGTGCTCCTGCTTAAAGGCAGGACTAAAGCCCGAAAGAAGCACACTATTCCGCGCAATTTCACACATATCATTTGGGCTAAGCTTCCAGACCTTCGAGGCGATGGAATACTCTTCGAGTAGGGGTTCTTGCGTGTGGTGGAATTGTAGAGGGCAATCAGTGCCCAGAGAAATTCGTAAGCCACGCTGGAAGAATCGCGGGAAGGGGTTCTGCAGGTACGGGCACACCTTTGTGTTATTGCTGAGCGGGCACATGGTGATGCCGATTTGGGCGAGATAAAATAGGTACTCCAAAACAGGGTCTGTCTCCAGTTGTACACCATAGGTGATGTTGTGGGCAAGTAAGAAGCTTCCAATGAGATGCTCAGCCGGACCAGACTCACCACTGCTTGGGCAGAAAGAGAAAACCGAGAACTTCCGCCGACGACGGAAAGCGTTGAGTGAGTAGATGTTCGCCCAGAGGTAGTACTGGTAATAGTTGTAAGGTGGGTCATCCCCGGTCGTCCACTCGTGCGGCGGCCGAGTCGCGAGATTCATTGGAAGATCAGGCCAACGCTCATCGGAGACCATGTCGAAGCCAGAGATATGCGTTAGGTGATGAAAAAGTCGCGGATCCTTGCTGGGATGCAAAGATACTAACCACAAAGGCGTGAAGATGTTCTCCAGGTATTCGGCAAAACTACGGACACGACCGCTTCGATGGAGATAGCCATAGATACACGGGACTTGGATCACCCAACAGTTGTGAGAAGATGACATACCGTGAGTGTCAAACCATGAAGACAGCAGTGCCCACTCATCGGAGCGTGCCCCGTAAATCGTGAGCCGGAACTCCGTAAAGCTGAATCGATCGCGCTCGAGGTTGTCGAAGGTTAGCTTTGTTAGCTCTGCAAAATAACGCCCACGGAGGTGGTTGTCGGTCTTAAGAAGCAGCGTCAGCAGCTCATCACGTCCCTCAGGTGTGTAGAGAGCGGCATTACTGGCCTCAGCGGCGGCCCCACCGAGGTTCATGTCAATCTGTACGTTTAAGTCATCGACCGTGAGGGAGTCTGGCGAGATGTGCAGCTTGTGTAGGAGCTGGCGAAGGGTCTGCGGCTCTTTTCCATCCTTATGCCAGACAATATCGTCCCCACTATTACGTGCCTTGTGTACGATGAACTGTAGTAGCTGCCGCGCTGTCATGCCTGCTTCGGTACGAATCGTGTTGTCCACTTTGGTGGATTGGTAGAAGTCTCGGTTCTGAGACGCTTTCTCAGCCGTCCTCCCAGCCTCCAACCCGTGATTCACTGCCTGATGAAGAAGGAATCGATGCTCTAGGAGCTGCAAGCGACGCTGCGCGAACTGACTAACAAGATAATTTTCTGTAAGCGACTTAAGGTCCTGGACGTGAACGCGGAAGTCGTCATACTGACACATATCCTGAGGAAGACGTGGGATTTGATGCACTTCGTGCGGTACCACGACCCCATCCACTGTCTTGAACATCCATTCGTCTTCTTCAAATGAATGATCATCACGACGAAAGGCCTGTTCAATGTTTTGTGTAGTGTAGTACTGCTGCATCACAACCTCATGCCATTTCCGCGGTGCATCCTTTGTGTTTTCGGCTGACGCTGACTTAATGTGAGAATCTTCTCGGGTATTTTTTTCATTAGAGTAGGGGCTCACGTAGAAGCTGCGAGTTTCTAATGCACGCAAGAGGGCTTGACCGATCCATGCATACTTCGCATCACGGTCGTATGGTCCTATAAGCTGGACACGTGGAAATTTAACATGGGGATCTGTGACCGCGTAAGGTGCCTGTAGGGTTGCTGTAGCATCCGTCGGCGTGGTTTCCTCCCCTGATATAGGTAAATTTAAGAATAAGGGACTAGGGGACGGGAAGATGCTCGGTGGAGGTGCAGAACTCAAAGCAGCTGCATTATTCATCGTTGTCTCAGCCGGAATCCGGCATCGTGTTGGGTTTATTCGAAGTGCATCCTCCTCAGAGCGACCGACGACCCCGGCTGCCGGTGAAGCTGACTTCCGTTTCATTGGATTAAAGATGATTTCATACTCATTGGCCCACATGTCGTGTCGGAGCATTAACCGCGATGTCGGGACGTTGCTGAGTTCGTGTAAGTTGCCTCGCCAGCCTTCATTTATGAAGGCTTCACCCAACCACGATGACTTGATGCGATTCGGGAAGGAGGAGTTCATGACAGAATTTAGCGCAATTTCACTTACATCAACACCGCTAAGGTGATAGAGTTTGCACGCCATGCCATACTCCTCCACGAGCGGGTCATCTGAGTGGTGAACTGCAAGCGGGTTGTAAGTGCAGAGGGACGTCTGCAAGCCGCGCCGAAAAAAAGTCATGAAGGGGTTATCAGCGTAGGTAGAAAAACCAAACGCAGTAGAGGACAAGGGGCTTATGCACACTCCGATATGGTGAAGGCCGTATAGGTACTGCAGCACGGGATGCTCCTCTAATGTGGTAGGGTGGTAGATACCGTCGCACAGAAGGTAGGATAATACCAAGGTATGACTGAGTGTGGGGCTGCTACTGCTGCTGGACGGGCCAATACCCGAAGAGCGTAGCTGAAAGGTATTTAGCCCACGTCTGCGGCGTAACGCATTGAGAGAGGTGAGGTTCGCCCAGAGATAATACGCAAAGTATATATCACTGACTCGTTCCGAGCTCGGTACATCTACCGGGCGCCGGCGTTGCCGCTCAACCGGTGCGCTCTGCTCGTTTTCCTCGTATTCTGGTGTAATCACAAAGCCGCCGAGGCACTCCAAAAGTGTTGCCAAGGCCGTATTACGCGGGTCCTCAGGGACAATGGTCGCCATGAAGAGTGGCAGGAAGAGTTGGTCCAAGTGCTGTTGGTGGTGTTCATGCATGAGCTGAGCCGGCGATACAAGCAGTTGCTGGGCACCGATGTTGTTAATATCAGTGGTTGGCGTTTCCTCAACGATGCTGTCGCTTCCAGCCCCACCTCTCCACTGTCGCCTTTGGGCATCCTTCGAGCCCTGTCGTTTACGTGACAGGGTGACCAGATACTGGTTTGTGCTGCGGTAAGGTTCCAACAGGTTGTGTCGCTGCAGCCACTGGGCCAGATTTTCCCACTCATTCGGGATCACCCCTGTTACAGAAAGGAATACTTCAGCCGCCTTTGGGCAGCGCAGACGCTCCGCATTTTGCACTAAAAACGGCCTGATAACATCAGCGAAATACGCCCCCCGGTTTAGGTTATCGCGGGTTAGGAAAAGATGAAGAAGCGCCGCTGCATTAGTGCCGGCATGATTGCACTGTGCGTCTAGTGGGTCATAGAAGCGATCCGTTTTCTCGACCAATGAGGGTTGTAGACCGAGGTCATCGGCCGTCAGAGACGATAAATCCGTGAAGTTGAGCATTTCATACACCATCCTCAGATTGTATGGGGTCTTTTGATCGCCAAGTACCGCTGCGGTATCATCTTCACCACGAGTTCGGATTACCTCCCGAATGTAATCCACGAGCCGTGGTGCGCTAACCATACCATGAAGCATGACACCGTTATCAACTTTCATATTTTTGTTGAATACACCACCGCCGCTACCCCCATAGGGACGGTTGTGCGTGTTGTTTTCCTCAAAGGCGTTGTTAGATAGCCTATACATGTCATACTTCTCCTCGAGTACCTGCAGACGGTAGAGACATGCACTTTGGCAGGTGGTGTGCTGCATACATTCACATACTGTCATGAAATCATCGTAGAACTGTTCCCAGGACACAGGGATAGTTATCTGGCCACCAAAGAGATATACTCCGTCAGATATATGCAGAGATATGGGTGGTACTAAACGCTGCTCCATGCAAAGGGGTTCCTCAGGCTGCCCTTTGTCTATTCCTTTGTAGCGTCCGCGAAGCTCGGCAACTCGTTGGAGGAATGGCTGCGCAAGAGACATTTCGACTCCACCGTCGTCTCCACTCAGATGCACCATGTACACATTATTTGAGTTAACTGCTTCATTATTAGAAGATTTAGTGGGCGGTATGAGACCGCCCGTCGCATAAATCCCAGTGAACACACCCACAGACGAGGCCCAGCCGCTGCTACGAGAGAGTTGTCTCTGAGATTGCGTAAGTGAACGACTATGAAGGCCATTGTTGGTTGGCTGACTTATATTCACATTTGGGGCAAATGATGTAGTTTGACGCTCCCCCACAGGAGCCCGGGTATCAGCATTGGAGGTTGTTGCCGAAATACGTGTATTTATTCCTAAGAATCGACTGGAACTGATATTATCGTGCAGTTCACTGCATCGCTTCCCCATAGAGATGGAAAGGGAGTTTACAACAGAATCACTTCCATGGGCAGTTGATAAAGTCGAAGATTTAAGAACTGACGTTGTTGTCTCTTTACCCAAGCTCTTTAGCGAACTTTTATTTACGGAGCCTATCGACGTGAGCTCCGGCAAAACGGGATGGCGATTTGCAGTAGAACTTTTCCCATGCTTGGGGATGAGCCAGCGGGACTGAGGCAGAAAAAAGGGGTCGCTCAGAGAAGTTTCAGATTCTTCCTTGTTAGATGTCACACGTTCTGACATTGCTTCTATTGATATTAGTAAGTATGAATAAATATGTCCTTTACCTTTTTTTTTGTTTCACTACATATTATGCTGACTTTTGATCCGTATGCATGTGTGAAGGAGAAAGTTGTCGAACAAGCTGGATAAATTTAAAATCAGAATTCGTTTGCATAATACCATGTGCAAAGAAGAAAAATATATACACCTTAAAAAAAAAGAATTGAGGATTGCTTATGCACTTGTTTTCATTGAAGAAATAAGGCCACCAAGTTTATGATTCCACAAATGCTTGAAGGGGACCCCATTGTAATAAAGACAGGGTTAAAAATCTATAAATTCATAACTAGATATTTCCCTGACTGTTTCGCATTTAGCTTCGTTAGATATCTGTTGCTCCCACATCATCAATACCATGTGTCATGTATGTCTTTGGTTTTTTGGCGTGCGCCGGCACTGACTTCATGCCGCCGCATGTTGGGTCAATGTCGATAGGGCATTCCCAGACTGATCTCCCTGTGAGTAGCACCTCACGATCCACATAATCCACGACATTCGAATAATTAAATTTCACTATCTCATCAACATTCTTCTTAGTGAATAAGTCGTATTCGTATTTCCATGTTGGCACATGTGGCCATTTGCGCTGGGTTTCTTCTTGAGCCATCTCATGTCGCAAGGCTTCTTGATACACAGGATCAACTTCTGAATAGGGAGCCGACTCTTTTGGCGTCTCCTCCAGCCCCAGAATCTCTGCACCATCAATGGCAGTTATATTGAGTGATTTGGCATAATCGAGACCATCCTGGTTGTCATAAGTAATCAGTGCTTCCCAGGGGCCTTCAATCTCGTCTGGGTGCACAGGCCGCTCGATATCAGACACATGCTGGACACGAGTCGGCTTCAATGTGATATTCGGGAAGTAGCCAAGCTGTATGACTGCGTTATTTAAGGTGGAGCGCCGCTTGTATCGGATGCGAACCAGTGAATCCTTTGATGTGTCTGGAGCTTGCTTTGGCGCAGGGACAGGAAGTTGAGCAGCCACAAACATAGGACATATAGCATTGTTGGCTGTTGGAGTCGTGTTATCTATGGGTGGCCGATCTGTTTCGCGCTTTGGCATATTTCCATCATCTTGAGGTGTCATAGGAAAGTTCGCCATCGGTGAGATCTCGTGTTGTATGACCCTTGCATCTGCCCCTAGCCACATGTTTGGAGCCAATTCCACAGCAGTGCAATCGTGCACACTAAACCCCAGTGATTCCCACTTGTGATATTCTGCCGTATCGCTGCACTCGGTTTGATACTGCAGCCACTGCTTCTCCGCCTCGCGTTTGCGCTGCAGAACGTCCTCAGGAAGGTTAATCTCGACCTTGACGATGCCTTTGTGTGACTCAAAGACATCATAGCGTCCAAAGAGTTCGCGAAGCCGACTTGGGTCGACGCGTTTGCTGAGCCGAACTTTCACAATGCTGGAGGGGTCGTGTGCCCCTGGTGGGGGAGGCGGCCCTGGCGGATAGCGGTAGACACCTTTTCTGAGGCGCTCTTCAAAGATGGCAGTAGCACGCGCAACTGCTTCAGCATCACGTTCCTTGACAACTGTCTTGATATTAAGCATGGACTTCTCAACCATTTTGAGGCGAGATGGAGCCGGCATGGCACCAAGCTCTTCTTGATGCCTAAGGTAGTGTGCTTTGGTACTAGCAAGCATGTTGCGCTCCTTCACGAGAAGCAACCAGATCTGCTGGAGATCAGCCATACTCTTGTTACGCAAGCTCTCAATCGGCCATGCACCACCCGGAATAGGTGGGCGTTTGTTGTTCAGAAGGTTGACATCGACAAACTCATAGAAGGAAGCTACTTTGACACGTAAAAAAATACACCGTCGCATCCCGCGATGCTTCTACTAATGTAGACTAATAAAGACTGTACTTAAATACAACAGGGATTGTTCAATAAATGGTGAAATGAGATAGGGGAGGAAGTGAATAAGTGTGTCAGTACACACCACTACAGACCATTGCGTTTAATTGTTATATGTTGCATTGTAAAAAAAAATTAAGCGGTTTGATGCCCTATGAAATATAATCCTTCCTTTTATCACAATATACTCTAGCATTCCAGATCTGTGTGATTTTATTATTATTCATTAATTGATAGTTATATTGGGTTCAATACGCGCATTTTTTGTTATCGTTTACTCATCCAGTTAAAAGAAATGGAAAATGTAGCCAATAAAAAAATGCACCGGTTTGTGAGTGTATAATTTTAAAGGTGAATATATGACATCTTAGTTGCGACCAACTTATTCAATCTCCTTCAAAGTATATCTGAATCAACGTTAGGTATATATGTGCATTTTATAAGCATTAATGCCACTTCCCTTGATTATCTTTCATTTAAAGAAAAACAACTTGGCAATGTTATTCTCGAAAAAGGATACACAATAGGAGATATTATTTGACATACATATACTCATAACTATCAACATCAATACCATAGATGTGTATGTATGGGTATCATTAACACAGATACAACTGATAGTAGAAATTCACACCTTTGAGCTTTAATATCCAGCTCTAAGACGAATTGTAGGGATAGAGGAGATAAAAAAAATAACACATCTAGAAAATAACCCTCAAGATCATTGTAATTAGCAATTTATATTGATAACCACAAATCATGATATATATATATATATAGTATAAATTATCAACTAATCTCATCATACACATACTATGGGCCCCTCATCCCTTTCCGAGTGGTAAACTGCTCGTGTTAGTTTTATTTGTGTATTTTATCTTCAGTCCAAGTATGTGTTTGAGATCTTCTATCCGACTTCCTATTTTTATTTAATTATTTACAACTATGGTGCTACTGTTAGAATACTTTTCAATGGTTACTAAAATCTTCACCCATATCCATGGGCACTCTGTTTGTACACGTTCCCCTGTTTATCATTTTAACAAAGCAGTGGTGAAGCAGAGGAGACATACTTTGGTACATTATCTACTTGGGATTCGTGTGAGTGCGTATTAAGTTGCACAATTTCTTCCCTCAGAGTTGTTATACTGGGATGTTTAAAGCCTTGAATCTCAAGCTCATTGAGATCCTTCTCAACGGCAGCACAATCACCGAGCTTGAGGAGACATTGAGCTCGGCGCAGCAGAACTTTTGAGTTATCTTGAAGAAACGGTGAAGGCTCCAGTAAAAATGTGGCCACAGCCACTCCTTCGGCGTACCGCCCAAGCTTGAGGTTCACCAGCACGAGGCCACACATGGCGAAGCTTAACAGTCTATATACCTTCTGTTGCCGCGACCGTTTGGTCTGAGTGAACCACTCCGATCCATTCGGCCTTCCACTCCCTTCGCTTTCAGTGTCCATACAATTGTCATGATTTAATGCGTAACGGCTTCCTGAACTAAATGAACGGCTATGATTATCCGTCACGTTTGGCGTTTCGGAACGACTCAAAAAGGATTTCGAAAAACGAGTCTGATTATGTTTTAGGATATCCACAAAAAAGGCCTGATCTGATTTTTTCGGGGACTGGAGATGGACAAGCCAAGGTGCGATTTCCGATCCCGTAGGCAGGTACTCGGCTAGAAGCATATAAACTCTTTTATAATAGAAGGATGCTGCATTCAGGCGGTTTTGAATCATTGCTGCATCTCCAGCATCCTTGGAGGCCTGTGCTTCGGCAATGTGACAGTCAATTATGTGGAGGTTGTCGTTGAAGAAGTTAACACCAGCATTTTTATTCATTGTTGGGCTTGAAAAGTAAAATGCTATTTTGACTCTGAAATTGGGCTCAGTTATAGAGCTACCGTAGTCTAAATCAGTGAAAATCAAAAAACAAAAATACTAATTATGTTGCTGCAAAAACTAATGTACAAATTTTTACGCACTCACACACATATATATATATATATATATGGAGCTTTTTTTTTTGATTTTTTCCCAGTTTATTTCCTTTAAACCTTTTTTTATGATGCTTTATCAACTTTTCTGTATTTTTCTATTCTATTTAATAACATCCAATTAACCAAAGGGTAAAAAGTGCGCATATCAAAATACTAGAAAATGCATCACATAACATCTAGGCCTTATATTCATAACCTGATTTTCTATCTCTTTTCCACCAATAAGTCCAACGCATTACACACATTTTCGCGTCGTACACATCTGGTTTCATTGCTCAATAGATTTAAAGAAGTTCATATTGCATCTTAGCTTCTACAGCGAAGCCACGCTAGGGCATGCTGCATATCAGCAGGAAGTACACATTCAACGACTGCACGACTGCCAGCTTCATTACCGATAATATCCACTATATGTGCATGCAGCGCGAGCCTTGGTATGATCCTCAAGAGGTCAGTTGCTCCCTTTGTTTTGGACCTCAAAAAGGACTCATTCACATGTGTTTCTTTCCGGATGTAGGCCGGATGAAAGCGGTCGTCACCCAAGAGTGGATGGTGAATCTGAGCGAAGTGTTGCCGCACTTGGTGCCGCCGACCTGTTATGATTTCAGCTTCGACGTAGGACACTCCAAACGTGGGAAAGCGCTCCAACACACGGTATCGAGTAATGGCGGAGCGCCGGTCATCAGGAACGGAATTCCGTACTAAATTGTTGAAATACCAAAGGGAATGTGTATTCCGTGAGTTCGATGTAATATTGCCCGTGTAGTCACCACTTTCGTTGTTGTCTAAGAAGGTCCCTTCTTCGTCGTTGGGTGTGAATCGAGGAGTCCTTTGTCGTTCTTTTCGACAGCTCGCATTGGTGTAAACGGCACCTGTGATAATACCACGCGAGGGAAGGAACCCATACCCATGAGATTTCACTACTCGTGACCGTGAAGCCGCGTTCTTTTGACGAATTATCTCCACCTCGTCGAGATCGGGCAAAACGGATTGAATAAGTGCGCGGTAGAACTTCCGAGACCGCCGCTGAGTGCCTGTGGCGTAGCAGCTATAATGCAGGCTCGCTGTATCCCGCGTTAAAAGCACCACTCCACTTGTTCCTACATCAATACGATTAATAAGGCCGTGTTGATGATGTACTGCAGCTTCATTAACCGATACTTCCGTAAACCACGCCGGGGTTGGCTTTATTTCCACGGGAACTTCAAACTGAGGCCGAGGCGTGCGGATTTCCGAGGCTTTAGTGTGGGGCATTTTTATCCCACCCTGCCATGGCAAAAGGGCCATGAGGTGGGGTGATACCAAGGATGGGAAAGCGGCGTGCAGGGTTGTGGACATCCCAGAGGGCTTAGATACCGCACAGAGTCCATACTGTAGCATTCCTGGTGCACTTATGAGACTGACGACATCCACTTCCCCACCTTTTTCGCGTGATGACTTGCCTGTGGGGTGGAGTTCATCATACCGCTGGTCCACCGCTCGGGTTGGAGGGCTGGATAGCGCCGCCGGGTGATTGGATTTCGCCATAAAATATTGAACAGCCCTGATGATGTCAACGTACATGACGCGCAATCGCAGCGAGCGAGGTATCGTACTGTCATCGCAATTACGAAGAATCTGATCAGGACTAGGAAACCACGCCTCGGTTGCGCTAGTAGGATATTTGCTCATAATACGGAGTGAGCGGCAGGCGAGTAATGCCGCGGCCCCGTGAAGTGGCTCCTCAACGATGTCCGTCCTTTTCTCTGGGTTAATGCGGTCTTCTTGGATTGCCGTTCTCACTTCTAACAGGAAGGAGGGATGGTAGAGTGCCTTGAAATATGACTGAACTGCGTAGGCTCTATCAGCCGGAACAACAAAGAAGAACCCCCCACCAAAAGCCTCCACTAGCGCAGTAGCCCACAATGAAGTATGATCGCTATTTGTGTCTTTGTCCTTGCCCTGACGAACCGAGAGAGGGAGGAGGTGCATTAGAAATGCGGAAGTGAGTGCAGCTGCCGCCTCTGGCGCCAGTACCGCCGGTCCATCGTTCGACAAATGCGTCCCAACAATATCAAGAAGCTGCACCAGCGTCGCGTCCGTCAGCGCCAAGGTTTCAAGATAAAGTGATACGTGGTAATTGCGCAAAGAGGCCAACTGTTTGATAAGGAATGAAAACGCTCTCGAATTTATACAGTGGTAACCAGGTGGAACACCGTTAGGATTATTCTCATTAATGATTTCTCGAACTTGCTTGTCAACCGTTCCAAGTTCACATGATATGGACGCTAAAGCAAAGTTCTTCTTCACGAGTTGTTGGACTTCTGCGGGGAGGACGTAGAGAAGTCCCATTTTTTGCCATGAACCAAGCTCGTCGTCGTCAACTTCGGTCCAGATTTGACTCACCGCCGCTGCCATAGGATGAGATTCAAGATTGACATCTTCATTCGGCGTGGCTCTTTTCCATTGCTCCCAGGCCGTGTGGCTTTGCATTACAGCATTTGCTAACCATTTTAAGTTTTCACTGGACGCATTACTACCGGGGTTGTGGTTTGATGAAGATGCCGTGCAAAAGACGTCGGATGTCCTATTCGCGCGCTGGTGATGAGATGGTGCAAGAAGCAGCATCTGAAGAGCGGCTGCAGATGGTGGTCGAAGTAGCACTTCTACCGCAGTTGATAAAGTAAAGGGTGCTTTACGCCAGCCTGGATCAGCATTACCGGTGTTTCGCATCATAAAGCGTTCAGCGGAGGCAGTGAATGGATCTCCATTGACAAAGCCACCAATCAAGTCCACTCTCAACGCCGTGGCGGATGCCTGACTGCCAAGTTCGATCAATGCCATACTGCAGAAATCTGCGAACGCTGCGTAGTTTGGCAGTGGTTGGCCCCATAGGGTCGGCGCCACACACTGCCGTGCTCGGCGTAGAAGTTTTACCCACGGCATAGTAGAAAAGTCAGTCGACGTATTATATTTTTCACTCGTCGTATGTGAAAGAGAAAGTCGCGTGGCCAGGCCGATGACTGACACAAGGAACCATGGAAGCAACTCCTTCTGAGGAATGCGTTCAATTAAGGGTACCAGTCCTCGGCCTTGGTGAGCGAAAACAACTAAGGAGCGTGGAATGTGGTAGGGAAGTTGCCTAAGAACCCACAGTCGGCGACGTAGGCCAACAGTAAAAGATGGTGGAACACTTGATCGGAGGTTATTGCACAAATCTCCTTGTGTAGCTCTCTCCAAAAAATTTAATGCAGTTTTCTCCTTTTCACACCTTATCGTTTTGGCGCTCCCTCCTTTGATATCTTTCCATCTGATAGAATGCATCCGACGCCTTAATCGACAGTAAGTTTTCATGAACAGATTTATAGAGGAAGGGTGCTGGAGGAGTCGCTGCTCGGCGTCCGTCATCGGCGTATTGATTAGATGTGATGGAAGCGACATCCGCAGCATGCGCGACGGGTGGGCGTAGAGGGCCCTCATCGAGGCACCTTGGAGTGAGTTTCCAAAAAACTCATCCAGCACTAGCCAATGCTGATCACACCAAACAGAAAAGTCGCCAGTCCGAGTCTTAGTACCTACGTTATGTTCGCATTTCTCAATGGTCGATTTTGTCAGGGCGTGGTGAGCAGCCTCGATGACGTGTCCTACCACAGCCTCCCACATTTGATTGAGAATCAATTCATTGAGGTCTTTGCAGTGAGAAACGCACGGGCGGTCGCTGCGGAGCGCGGAAGTTACCTTTGGTATGTTTTGGTGGATTTTCGCGCTTGCGGATGCATGGTGCTCAGGTATTGTTTCGTGATCTCCCTTCCAGGTGACCACTTTCTTGCCGTGGATGCTTATTCGATCGTAGATGGTATAGTCAATGCCGCATGACGCCACAATAGTAGCGTGCACCCTTTCTATTGATCGGCTTTGTTCCCACTGGGCGATCAAAGACGATACGACTCGCGCGTCTTGACCTCGACGCTTGGCATGTGTAAATATTTGTGAAAGTGTACCCCGCAGCGTTTCTGTGCTGTCATTGTCGTCGCTGATATCATCTTCTTTTTCCCTTTCAAACGTCATGGTAGAGTCGTTGTAGCTTTCTGATTCATCTCTGATACTGTCTTCACGAAGGCCAGCTTCCTGAGCATACTTTGTTAATACGTGGAGCACATCCAACGATGACAGATGTACAGATCGGTATGTGTCGTTGGGGCTGGAGGTGGCATCATTCTTTTCAACCATTGGCCACTCTGTTGAACATTCTTGATTGTCTGTGCATGAGAAAGTCCATCCCCAACATAGAAGAGCATACGCCTCCTTCCAACTTAGTTTAATGCTCAGCAATTTCAAATTTTTATGATCATCACTGACATATCGAACACTTCCTTCCATCATGGTTGTGTATGTCTCGGTATGAGGGTTTGGGCGAGATAAGTGTATGGGAGACCGCAATCCACTTGGAAGCAGCGGTATTTGTGCAATATGATACGCAACGCGTTGCTGTGTACTAGTTCCTTTAGAAGTATCCATTTTCGCAGGATTTCTCCCGATGGCACCGAGCGGTTCTCTTCTTTTGTGAAAAGAGTTACCGTTATCAGTAACGCCTGCATTATTATCTCCAATCAACATGTGGTTGCCACTTTGTTGAGAAATGGAAGGAGGTGGGAGTGGTAGTAGAAGCTCACAGAGCTGTCGCCACTCTTCTTTATCACGCGGCGCGCTATCGTGAAGTACAAGCATCTGCAGGTACGCTTGTGCTCCTTGCTGGGCAAGTTGGCGGTGTAATAATTTGAACCGATGGACGCTGAAACGCCATAACGAGATCATCTGAACATTGTCCTGATTTTGTGATGCAGTTGCCGTAGCGGTTATGGCAGCATCCCATTCAATGGAGAGTTCTGTAAGGCGATTGTGCCATACGTTGTGTTCGAGATAAACGCAATTAGAAAGAAGTGCCTCGGATATAGCATTCCGACGTAACATAAATTCGCGTCGGGATGCACGCGAAGCGGCTAGCGTAACCCATTCTAATAGTAATGCATGTGTTTGTATTAATTGCCAATCTTTGTCGGTTGCCTCGTAAGGCGAGGACACACTCATAGAATCTGTGGTTGAGAGTGAATGTTCCTTCCATTCTTTCACCCCAAAGGGCCACCGAGAACCAGAGTCGGCCAGCGTTCGCGTCGCTGTGCCTAAAGATGTCATGCTAACCCCACTTGAGAGGTCACTCTTGTGTTTCTTTAATTCCTGTTGAACTTCTTTCTCATGATGACGGCATAAGATGACATCGAAGATATTTATGTAGTAGAGTGCTTCTTCTAGTGTAGTGGTATCTTGTATTTGTACTGGCCTCGTTTTAGTCACCGGGTTGCAGTCCGAAAAGTGATTAAAACGGATGATTGCTTGGCTAATGCGTTGTCGTAGATCAGAGATGGTTAAGAGTGGCTCAGTCTTTTTGTCCTTAACAGTGTCTAAATTGATACCTGTGGACCGGCAAGACGATTTATTGTTCACAGGCAAAGACTTCGAAACCAAACCTAAAGATCCCATAGAAGATACGAACGGTGTCGATGATGATGTCGAGGAAGGATTATTGTATGTCACACGGCGACAGTTCTTTTGAGCGTCCAACTTTCTGCCATTTCTGCCTCGGGTTATCGGAGTGTCCCTAGTTTGTCTATAAAAGTCTTCCGTAGTGGTGACCCACCGTACAGAGCTGAAATTAGGATTAAACTTAAAGTGTATAAGTAGGCACTGTCGATGAGTAAAGGAATGAAGTGTCACGGGCTGCTGGAGTTTTCCCATTAAATAAGGCGACACAGAGGTGCATAAAATATGTCTAAAGACCATATTTTATGTATGTAATTTTTCCCTCGATTTTTTTTTCTTTTCACATCCCAGAGAAAGAAATTAATAATAAATCTATTTAATTTCTGTGGGGTTAGGCTACGTCGTGAGGAAATGTCATAAAATATGTTTTCCTATCTAATTAATAAAAGAAAACATATCCACTGAACTGTAAGAAAATAGAGGAAAGGTGGTAATGAGGGAAAAAATCACCATTCGAGGGTTATTTTCATCATCTGAATAAGAAAACTCTTTTTACCAAGGACACTAGCTTCAATGATTTTCAATAATTCCAAATTCCAAAGTATAGATTATCTCCGCATGCATACATATGCGCATGAACATATGTATTCAATGTACCAATTTAGAAAATGATAAAATTTATGAATTTTTTTTTGCTTTAGCATATATTGTTCAATAAATCAATGATAATCCATGTGGCGTAGGTACATCGTGAGTAAAGCATAAAAAAAAACAAATTATTTGCTGAAGATTGCTTCTTATAAGCAAGTCCAATTAAGGCACCACAATTATTGCTACTACAAAATAATGTTCCTATTTGATATCATCACGGTTCGATACGATTTTCCGTTCAGATATATTCTACATCTTTGATAGGCACCTTCACTGCCTCTCTCCATGCATGATCCATATAATTGTACGCGCGTTCGATGGCCGTACTTGTGTTCGCAGTGCTCAGTGCATTGCTTGCCTTATCAATAATGGAGTCAAACCCCACAAACTGATACAAGTTTTTATTCGGTATGGTAAAGACCTGAAGAGCGTTCAGGATGACCGAACTGTCTGGGAGGCGGATGACACAAGGTGCGTTGGCTTTGAGCGTTTCAAGGGCCACGGAGCGCTGAATAGAGGCGATTTGTGTCAACGGGATTGCCTCCTTCACACCAATACATTTCTGGCTGTGTTGCACCTCCCCGTCTTCAATGGCGGACTTCATCATCTCAAAAAAGGCCCCTGCCTGAACGAGCATCGAGGCCTGAGAGCAGAAGCAGAGGTGGCTGCGCGTGATCTGCAGGTGTCCGTTTACGGTCATCCCAGAATGAATGGTGGAGCACTCGTAGTCCGCCAAGAGGACTTCGCCTTTCAGGGCGAGCTCTGGGAAGTGCTGGCGGAAGCGCTCATTTGCCGTTTGGAGTTTGAGCTGCCGCACATGCGTCTTCGTCGCGACCGTAGCGTCGGCGGCGCCCTTTTCAATTTGCAATGCCGCCTGCGTGACCACAGACTTCACCTTACTGAACACCCCCCCCGCCCCTTTTATTATTTGATCCTTTGCGCTGATATTTTCTTTATAGGTATTCTTGGGGATACTCTTTTGCTTCACATCATGCTCAAGTTGACGACGGGCGAGTTCTTGTTGATGTTCTTCATTGGCCAGTCGAACTTGTTCATCCGGAGTTGGGGCAGTGCAGGCCGGATGGGGAAGGGGTGGTGGGCCGACGTAGGTTGGCGGCACAAGACGCAGGTAGAACCCCTCAGAGCTGGGAATTGTTTCAGACATAAGCTTTACTGACTTCGAAAACAATCTATTCAACCGAAGTGATCGCCGTAAGAGAGGATAAAGAAAGGGAAGACATCAAAAAAAAAGATCAAAATAATAATAATATATATAACATATATATATATATATATATGTTTATACTGAAAATGAATTTATTCATATAAACAGATGGGGTTATATTCATTATGCTATTTATCGCTTGTATTCTAAACACGTGGATCAGTTATATACATTAGCAAGCGCGAATAGGCCGAAAAGACTTAAAATTTTGACTATATATATATATATATATAAGACGAAATGCACATTTCGAAAAATCTATTACAATATTGTTAATGAATACACATTAATATAAATAATTTTAAATTTAAACAGAATAATACTTAGAGCTAAGTTTTCAAGAGCACCATCCATTCAAATTTACCGCTCATTTTGCTCTCCAACGTTCAAAATGTGTGTTGCGAAGGGAAGAAGAGGTGTACGTGTATGTTTAGCTGGTAAGTGTTTGTATTGATCACGTAAGAGTCAGTTTTTATATTTTGTAGTAGTAAGTAATAAAAAAAGTGAGCGTGCTTGTATGCATAGCAGATTTCATGGATGAAAAAGTTAGAAACAATCTGAGTAAAGCGGAAGAAAAAAAAATAAGAGCTGCACGTATGTTAAAGTAAAAGTGTATCCACGCTATTGTAAGCATTGTGTTCCTTAGAAAGTTTTATTTAACATTATTTTTTTTGATTCAGGGAGCCGCTTCTTTATAGTAATACATCTGAATTCTAATAAAAAAATAAAGATACCAATTTTGAACTATGTCGAAAATATTGAATTGTTGATTCAAACAAAGCTCCAAGGGTGGTATTCTCTTGACGAAAAGCACACAATTTATTCCATACGATTTTTTTAATTAAATCAGGGAACCGCTCCTTCGTAGAAATACATTTGAAATATAATAAAAAATAAAGATAATAATTATGAACTATGTTGAAAATATTAAATTTTTATTTTATTAAAACGCGAAGGGTGGCAAGCGAGCTATAGAGTGAATATTGAACGAATAAGAGCTGCAATACTGACGAAGGCCAGGCATTTCGCTTGTAAATGCCTTACTTTAGTTCATGGGCCACCTAAAGCAATACGGTCGTCAGCAGCGCGGATACGACACCTATAAACGACAGACCTGCGACCCGAGAGGTTCCTTGTGTCGTCATGCATTCTTCCTTGCTAAGGCTTACCTCATATCCGGGTTCACACACTCGACAAAATTTTAGGTTTGAGGTACATTTTTGACATCGTGCGATCCCGCAATATGATTTATCTCTTGATGAGTCATTTATGATGTCACCCCGACCCGATGGAACAATAATGGGAGTTGGGGTTGGTTCTGGCTTCGGGGTCGGTGGAGGGGGAGGCTCGATAAATATACACTTTTTGTCTTCAGTCATATTGTAATCGGGGAAGCAATTGGCACACTTGTTTTCATCGGAGGGGGTGCATTGCCAGCAATTACTGACCTTGCATGGTGGTTTTTGAGTATTGTCGTATCCATTCACTGGGTCCAATACCGACGTGCACACAGGCAGTTGATACTTATCATTTTTACAGACACATCCACAGCTTTGTTCCGACGGCTGGATCTCGAAGTTATTCGGCATACAGGATGAGTAGGCGCATTTATTATCGGCGAGCCTGTCATTTGAGGTGACCACTGCACTCACGTGGAGTCCGTGTTGTTGGAAATCGTCCTCGGTGAGTTCTTTTCCGTTAAGTTCGACATTCGCATACAACCGCGAGCTCGAGTCCACGGCAGATTCGTCGACGGTACTCTTGGTCGCGAACAGAGACCCCTGAACCTTCAACCGGATAAATGATACAAGCGAACTTCCCGAGACGATAAACTTATCGAAGGTGAAGAGGCTGCCGGAGTTTACCGCGCAATCCACCACGAAGTAGAGTGAGGCGTCTGTGATGGAGACACTCCCTTCGTTGGCGAGGAGTGGGGCGTTATTCTCCACGGTGAGGTGGCTTAGACGGAACATGCTGGACTCACTCACTGAGATCTGCGGCACCGCGACCGTGGCGCCGGTGCAGCCCGTACAGGAGCCCCAATCTACCCCGAGCGCGGAGTGGTCGGAGATCGTCAAAACGTTGATATTGTTGGAGGAGAGAATACTCTCCGCGTTCTCCGCGCTCGTGTTGAGAAGAAAGAGCCCGGAGGCGTCGTCGATGCTGCTGATTTCATTGCCCGTAAACACCACGACAGCGCGTTTGGCGTGATCCCCCCCTCCCCCTTCCCACCGAACCTTTGTCCCCTCCAAGAGTAGGAAGACGTTTTTGCTGAGGTGCAGACCTTCAAATTTGAAGAGCGCCTTGCTGTTTGACATCGTACCCGAGGTTGCTAAGAGGTGGATATACGAGTTTGGAGGCATCCTTTGCGTAAAGCAGATCTCAGAGTCTTCCACAGTTGTGTCCTCCATTCTCATCTGAAACTTCAAATCTAGTGAATCGATTTTATCATAAAAGCCCAGCACCTTCAGACCGCCTCCTGATACAAGTCCTTTAGTAATTTTCCCCGTCACGACACCTTTCACCTCTCTCAATCCTTCAAGATTCAACACATCACCGTTATACGTTTTGCCATTTTCATCAAAACTAGTGCGGATGACAATTTCATTAGCATGCGCCATCTTCATTAGTAAGAGCATCACGCAGAAGAGCGCTATCCATGAAGTATGGTTGCGCATTTGGATCTCCCGCGTTTAAAATGTGCGCGGCAAAGGAAGGGGTGTGGGTGAGTGTTCGGCTTTCGTATGTAGGATTGCGTGAGGGGGAAACCGTCTGTGTGAAGCAAATTTATTATATGTAAAAGTTAGGAACAATCTAAGTAAAGCCGAAGAAGAACAAAAGTGGCACGTATAATTATGAAGTGGAAATTTTTTTTCACAATATAGCGTACCTTGGGTTTGCTCTGAAATATTATTCATCATTTTTTATTTGGCGAACAACTGGTTCATGGTAGGGTTATATCCATAATAATAATAGTAATAGAAAAAATAATTTTGAACTATGTCTAAAATATTGAATTGTTAATCAATCAGAGCTTGAAGAACGGTACTCCGTTGGCGAAGAGTACAGGTGTGTATTCCTTATCATTTTTTTACTGGATCAGGGAGCCGTTTCTTCGTAGAAATACATATTAAATAATAATAATTTTGAACTAGGTCTAAAATATTGAATAGCTAATCAATCAGAGCTCGAAGGACGGCAAGCGATCTATAGAGTGTATATTGAAGGACTGACACTTTTCACCTCTCTCAATCCTTCAAGATTCAACACATCACCGTTATACGTTTTGCCATTTTCATCAAAACTAGTGCGGATGACAATTTCATTAGCATGCGCCATCTTCATTAGTAAGAGCATCACGCAGAAGAGCGCTATCCATGAAGTATGGTTGCGCATTTGGATCTCCCGCGTTTAAAATGTGCGCGGCAAAGGAAGGGGTGTGGGTGGATGTTTGGATCGATCACGTCTGTGGGTAGTAAATTTCTTGGATGTCAAACTTAGAACTGAATTCAATCGGTTTCTTTGTAATTTTCTAATTTTTTTTACCCACTCCTTATTGTTGATATAATGGGTTTAGGCCTTTTTATACCATTCCCAAATGCTATGATGTATCAAGGCATTCACTTTTTGTATATCAATCCTTTCAAAGATCTATGGATTTCGTTTTCTCATATAAATGAATATCTACTGTTAGTATTTTATTGTTTGCAAAGGGGTCCTTATCTTTGACTCTAACTTTTATCAAGAATACACCGAGGACCGTTGTGTGGTAGTCTTTAACACTGAATATGAAGCGTCCTTTCGAAGAATTCTAATGCATTTATGTGACCACCCCCGCTGAGTATGCATAGCTGACCACTGTCAATAGTAAAGTTAAGCACTTTTTGCCTTTTCCTCTTTTCATGTCGTTGGTGATTGGTAGTATATCGATTTGAGGGGTATGCATGTGCCGAGTTCCAGTCGTTCTCTGAAGTGTACTCATCAGTATTCACACAGGGCGTAAGAAGTTTATCTGTGTTATCGGAGCAGACCCACTCGAAAAGGTACGTACACGCTTTTAGTCGATTGAAATGAAAGATACATGTCCTGGCGTTGATTTCCAGCGGCGCTTGCCATTCTCTACGGGATATCCGCTGCTTTAGATCGGTTTGAAGAGCCCTCACCATCACATCCACTACTTCAGCAAGCTGCTGTTTATTTGGTGCCGGGGCGAAGGCACGACGAAGCCGTGCAGCCGTTGTGGTAGCGATGTCGCCTGTGATGGATGAGAATGCCTCCTTGTGTAGATTATTTTCTATTACTAATGAATTTGATGATGTGGCGTTTTTAGTGGGCTGCTTAGAGTTCTTTTCTAGCATTAGGTGACCGTCAATCCAATTTAATAGCGAGGTACGAGAACCCAGTAGTTGTTTTATTTGAGCATTGTTGTCAGATAGATATTGATGCATCGCCGCTGAAGGATCGTGGCTTCCGAGACTTTCCCGAAGAAGGTCCCCCAACACCACACTGAGTTGGTCATTGCGTGCTGAGAGGGCGGCCGATTTGGAACGCTCCTTTTTGATGACGACGGATGCTCGCTTAAGAAGTTCCGCAAGCTGGGCTGGATTATCTGTGCAATTTTCTGGTCTTTCCATGGATACAACCTGGGGCTGTCAGAACGATGAAACCGGGACCTCCGTCTTCGTTTAGTTGAGTTTATTTTATGTCTTTTTGGAGAAGTATAGGTATGAAATTAGTATCCGGAAATAAAGGGTAATATACAAACACAGAAAGAGAGAGAGATAGAGGGGGGAATAGAGTGAAATATGGTTTGGAAGGGTTTATACTGCCTAATGAGAAGGAATTACCATCTTATCCTGATATATGGACGACCATTGTTATTCTTTTTTCTCCCCCTTAAGATATCCTAAATCATGTCATCTTAGATCCTGACATTGAAAACGCACTTTGCATCTGCACCAAAATCGAGTATGGAGAGGGAAACGGTGAAATTGCACTACTCTTTATTTGTTCCCTTTTTAAAAAATTTTGCTATTGCTTTCCCTACTGTAAACACAGTAAGGAAAATATACCCATGTGGTTTGTTTAATGTTTATACAGGGCGGCCGCGGCCTGGGGGAAAACCCTCAGGCTGAGGACCCTTAGTGGTCTTTATTGCACGAGTAACCTTTTTGTTATATTCTTTTCGCGCCTGCCCGCTCTTTGCCTCCTCTCGGCGCATCTGAGCCTGAATACGCCATCGGTCTTCGGTTGAAACCATCATGCGTCCCACTGTAATGCTAGGGTAATGAGCGGCGACAGTGGCAGATACGGACATCGTGCGGTCCCCCGATGTGCTGTTCCCACCCAGCTTATTATTTTCTTTGGCGGTCGCATCGCTCACCGTCAAAACACGCCAGATGCTATCGGCAATGCGGGTGAACGTCATGAACTCGGAATGAGAAGGCGGGGTCATGTGGGAAGAGGCACTTGATTCTGCTGATGCAAAAAATGCCCAGTTTCGGACCGCATTGCTGGTAGGAGCGATAAGGCTGCTGTTGAGATATTTTGCGAATTGAGTGAAATCCAACGTTTCCTTATTGACCATTTTGATCTAGTATAATAGCACCAGTAACTCTACTTGTGTTTTATTTCGTTATTTACAGATCTACTGTAATTATTTATACAACGTGCTATATTTATTTTTATACTATAATCATTTAGATGAAAGTCCATAAAAGTGTGAAAAAGGATCCAACAAATCAAGTATACATTCAATTTTATGTGTTATGCTGCTGTAACAACGTCAGCAATGACTTTTTTCCTTTAGCATTCTTATTCTTGCACATTACCCAACGGCAAGATTAACTGTTATCAAAGGCAGCCTCACATTTTTTGGAAAGTGGAAAAAACATTACAAAGCGGAGGGTTATGAGCAAAGATACTTCGTTGAATCGTTCAGAAGAAACACAATTGTTAAATGAAGAATTTATGATTCATGCGTATTTTTAAGTAATCATTTAGAATCGGAGGCTGGGAAAAAGGCCTCAACACGCGCATCGATTTCTTCTCGCGTATTATCGTATTGGGCTTCCGTCAGACAGGCGCAAACCGCCACCGTGCGGCGTGTCTCCGCTGTTGGGTCCACTTCACTTGGGAGCCCCTTCACCCACACCCGTCCATTAGCCCCTGTGCAGATCTCAAATGGGACTCGTGCCCCGATAGCCGAGATGAGGTGTGAGGCAGGGATTGAGTCTACAGGGGGTGCCGTCATGAGGCCATGGACGTAGGGCAGCGGCAGCGTCAGGACACGTCCGCCTCGCAGTTGACCAAAGACGCTTTTTCCTGTCGTCCAGTCATTCGGAATGAGCCCCACTTCGGCTGCCGCACAGGATAGCTGCACCTCGGAAAGGTTCTCCACCCGGGCCGCACCCTTCCCTTCGTCCGACATGCGGTTGTGGACGTAGGCGTAGACAATGTCCCCTTCCTCTAGCCGTGGTCGGCTTTTCTTTGTGGCCCCGTCAAAGGCCAGGGCATCGAGATAGGCCACGTAATGGCCATCAATATGGCATTGATAGCCTTGGGATCCCACCCGGCGCAGGATGGTCGCTACGACAGGGTCCCCCTCCTTCCATACGTACCGACGCGCGGCAGGGGACTGGATGGAATAGCAAGGTATGTGGGGATGGGATGGGTAGGACCGGCGATCCACTGCGGCGCAGATTTCCGAGACCAAAATGCGTTCGGGCTCCGGATGGAAAGGCTCGTTCAGGCACCTTAGGTTTCCTTCAATCGCGACTATGGCGCCTGGGCGCACCGCCAACACCGGGTCCCCAGGGAGGCAGACATAACGACGCAGGGGAACGAGTTCCCGCGTGGTGTCTAACCGCTCCGAGGCCAAAGACATCGACACACGTCGTAAGACCTAATAAGAATACCTTTTTTATGTGTTTGCTATGCCTGTAGATGCACTTCGTCTAATAGGGTTAGGACAACAATGAATGATAAATAAAATTATCGGGAGTCGTACGTCTAATATTTTTTTTTGTAAAGAATTTCAGTATCAATATTTCAAAGTACACAAGAGTTGGAAAAAAATATATTTAGTAAGTGACATAAAAATGCATACCGCATCCCCACTTGGGGATGTAGCACACAAGGGATTGATGCACAAACACTGATGTCACAACTCTTACGGATAGACCTTTCGGAAGGCAACCTTTGTCATCAAATCTAAAACATTACAACATTCAAGAAGTGTCTTAGTGTTGCAGTTAACTACAGGCAACACCAGAACTAGTGCGAACAAAAAGGTCGGTGATTCTTCATTACTTTTGACTGATGTGAGTCATTTCCCCTTTATCTGGTTACTGGTGCTAACGTCAAATATTGTCCCAAGCATCATGTATCTCTTCTTCAGAGCACTACATTCCTGAACAACAAGCATATGTTGTTCCATCATTGATGTATTTATTTAGACATTGTGTAAATATTTCCATGAGAGACGTGTTTATGTCATAACACTTTCGAGTGCGCGTCTTGCTTTTCTTCTATGATTTCTTGAGTCATGAACTTTCCATTCCGTGTTGATTCAAGCCGTAATTTCTTTAGCAAACATGAAGACCTCTGGTGACCTAGTATGTGCCAAAATTACTAATTCTCATAAAAAACAACAACCCCATAAATTGTTCACTATATAAGGAATAAATACGCGCACAATGGAATGATTTTTTTGACCTCAGTGATGGTGTGCTATGCGTACCTGCATCAAATTCGCATCCACGGTGGACTACCCAGAGTTCCAACTGCTCTATATGGCACAGGGCTAATGAACATCAGAGGACCTATACCGATGGAAATATTGTAGTTGTTTGAGTCATTTAAGATAATAAAAGGATAATTTATGTTTCATTGAAGAGTTTGATCTGTACAGTGAATAATAAGCTAATGAAAGGAAAATGGCGTTTATTCTGTATATTTCTTGAGGGTTTGTTGACTCTTTCCATGTTCCACGTTCTGTAGCACCCTTCTGTAGTGAAATCATAACAGGAAAAAAAAACGAATAATAAATGACATACAAATGGCGAGTTACAAACAGATGTGACTCTACACATTAATTAGTTCATCGTTCAAATCATTAGCATTTTAATCCGCCTTATTTAGTATCCGGGGTACCAATCAGAGAAAAAGAAAAGTATATAACACAGCAAAATTATTTGTGTTTCACAAATAAACTGGAAGAATGGTCGAGGGATAGCTTTTTGCACCTCGTGTTGAAGTTCTGTTCGTTTTCAGTCGATTACTGCCTATATAGATCACAGAAAGCTAAGTAATAATAAAGAATAGATAACATGGATAGGTGGTGACTCTGAAGTTCAGCGTTCAGAAAGAATATATGTATATATATATATATATATATATGTGTGTTTATACGTAAAAAACGGACAATTTTTAAGATTATGTTTTAGAAGATCAAGAAAACTATCATGAAAAGGTAATCCTTTGCTAATATTTCCATAGATGAGATAAGGACCTACAATGCGCTTAGTTATTTTTTGTATTGAAAGCATAAAAAACCTTCATGTCATTTCATATTTTCATTCCTCAATTCGTCTGCGGTGTTGATGGGTAGACTGTTTGGACTTTGGCGTGCCAATGGGGTTATCCAAAGGGGAGTCTATGTTTTTGGCACGCGGCCTTTTCATTGCAGGAATCTTCGGCGGTTTCTTTGGTATGGTTACCTCAGGCGACGACTTTTGAGATTCTTCAACGTCTATCTCAAGTATCGTCCTCTCAGGGTGGACTTCTTTATTTCGATTATAACGTTTATCATCGTCGCAGTTGCTTGATACGACTGGTCTTGGAAGAGGGATAATGTTAATCGGTGATGGAATAAACCCCTCAGGTGGTCGACCCCAAGACAGGAAAGAATGAGGGACCTGGTGGAGCAGTGAGGACATCGGTGCAGTAGTCGCCGCACTCAAAGCTGTAGAATACGGGGAGGGAAGGAAATCCTTCGCTTCGATCCACGCCATGAGATCCATTTGTGATTTCTTCACAATCTGCATGACTTCATCATGGATGATTTGCCGCTGCAGACACTCCACGGAAACGTAAGTGCATCCAACGTAGCCTATTATCATGGTAGCGGCGCCCGAGGTGATGATAATCCACGGGATTTGTCCAAGGGGACCCCCTTTTGTGAGCACACCGGCAAACAATCCCGCCGCTAAACACCCCAAGGCCGGCAACCGCGCCGCTGCTGTCCGTCTTGGCATGGTGGTGCATAGAATCAAAGTCACCACCAAGACGTATTGCAGCGCCGCTTGGAGAGAGATGGCATGGCGTATGAGGTTTGTGTGGGCCTTTTCGATGTACCGGAGTAGCTGGAAAATTTTACTCGTGCGCTGGTCCATGGATGCGTAGTGTTCAGCAGCCTGCGTCGCTAATTCATCAAGCTTATAACTCGCGTTAACGGCAACCGAGTTCAATAATTTTTGTATATACAGGAGGGATTCTTTGGTGTGATTTGATGTGCGTAAAATACTATCGGCTGAAATGTGCAGCCCCTGCATTGTGTTGTTTTGACTATCTTGCAGCCTCTGGAGGCCTTTATGCAGCTCAACTGATAAGCGCTTCGAATCTTGATGAGCTTCCATTGTCTCTTCAGCTGTGCGAAGCAGCTTCACACTGCTATATTGCAAGTTTTTAAGGGAATCAATACTCAATTCAGCAGCAGATTCCAGTGCAATTACAGCAGCTTCTGTGCGCTGCTGAAAGAGCTCTTCCTGTAAAAAAGCACATAAAACATCGGTGTGTAAGCGATACTGAATGAATATCGCATAAGCTGGCTCAGAAAGTCCCTTCACACATTTGTGAGGGTTTTGTTGCGGTGTGCAGTAAAAGGAGGAAGCCCCACCGCGGTCGTCGCTTTCACTATCGCAGGCTGCCATACCGAGGGCCAGACGTGTGCGCAAAGCGCTTTCAGCGCGTATAGTTGCACAATCACTGCGTAGTGCTTCAACAGACCTTTTCCAACAGGGGTTCATTTGGCTTTTGGCCTCGATTTCGTTCCACAGGGTACGCGCCTTTTCACTAGCCTGTGTTAATTCAAGGTGTGTCGAGCTACTTCGTGGATATACTCTGTGCCTAGCACTATTTGGTCGAAACACATTAAATAGCGAAGTTCCCTCAGCTTGAAGGGGTGGCCCAGTTAAGAAAATCAAAAAGCAAGAAATTAATAAGTGGAAAACTGAGAACACTAACTGGTACTTCATGTTTATGCTTGGCAAAAAAGTTTCCTCCCCTACTTTTTTTATTTGGAGTGTTTTGAATGGAAGTATGCTTTGTCGGGGCACAAGTCAAAAGTCTCACACAAAAAGTCACTTAGAGTAAAGAATAAGCAAAAATAATTCAACTTAAAAGAGAAAAAAGTAGTTCTTAGTATAAAAACAACAAAAACAGAAATATACTAAAAGATGTAGTCTTACATAAATGAACAGAAAGTGAAAGGACACTATACCTGATTCGATGCATTTTTTCTAATAGTGTAATATCTACACCTACGAGATTAAGTATAGCAGTTGTCTCGAGGGAAACCTGAAGAGAATAATGTGGGAAATTTATAGTTTTTACTTCATGATATGTCGTATAAAATGAAAAATTCACAGAAGCAAGATAGATAAAATAGTTTTTTAAATGACACATAATACTATTTCTTGCTATCTCTTTTCGCTAGAAAATAAGGAAGATGCATAAAAGTACGGTTTCCATTTAGAATTCAATTGTTTCAATATCCGACATTTCTTCCTCTTGGACCTGACTAGGAGTCCTAGGAACTGCACCTTGAGACGTCTCTAATACCCTCAACAAGTTTTTTTGTTGTATGTCTTCATGTTCCAGAATCATTGTTCTGATGCTCTCTCGCACTTCACATAGTTCTTTCACCTTTCTGTCCAAATCAACCAATCGTTTTTCCAGCAAGCATCGTTCCTTCTTGAACCCACGAAGCACCGGCAAGAGCGTCTCTCGACGGTACAGTATGAAGTCCAACAGCAACGCGTGATGGTCCTCCTTGTACGGTACTTGGAGGTCCCCTATAGAGGTTGACCCCTTTCTAGGCTTGGGCGTGATGGAGGTCACGGGTGACACAAAGGCCGGAGCACCCCTCGGTCCATTGTTACATTTCTCCACGGGCCTCATTTC